TTTGAGCCCCAAGCGCTGAGCTGCAGGGTGAAGCGAGGGGCTGCAGAGTTGAAGTCCTCCAGGGAATACATCCCCCATCACCCCGACACAGCAATGCCACCAACACGCTCCTTCATCTGGTGCTTCCTGCTGGGTGATCTATATATAATGTGCGGAAGCTCTGCTCCCCCTCCACTTCTCCCTCTGTCTACCTGAGCTGTTCATTTGTAGCCTCCATAAGCAACCCATACTCCTAAATACTAGTGAAGTACATTCCTCTAACTTGTTCCAGGGGATTACCAAGGAGTGGGGGTGGTGGGAAAGGGGCGGAAGAGGAAGAAAGCCTGAAGTTCATGACTGAAGCTGGGGAGTCTCATGGGAATGAACCCTTGGCTTGGGGTTCTGCATCTCCTGGAGGGAGCTGGGATCAGAAATAAATCGAAGTGTGGAACACCCAATTGGTGTCCGTGAAGTGATGCGAGAACATACGTGCCTTCGCCACCCAAGCAGGGATGGCCCTTGCCTGCCTAGCAACGAGCAGAGCCCAGCACTCAGGAGGCTCTTCAGGCAGGCATGGACGGCTGCGCTGGTGAAAGGAGCAGGACTGTTTCGCATAACCCTTACGCAGTAGTCACAGGGAATGCTGATGAATGAATGCCAGGTCAACGCCACACGTGAGCCAATCAGCCCTGCTAATTACAGATGCCTGAGGTTTAACCACCAGGCAGCCCAGTCAGTGGTCACTCCCAGTACCACCCGGCCTCTTCTCTAGGGAGAGAAACTCCATGGCATGCAAGGCATCAGTACTTCAAGCCAGCTGTCCTTTTCATTCTGTTGTTGCAGCTGTGGTTAAGATCAACACTGAAAAAGGCACTTGGCTCCTGCCGTATCTGCCCCTCATGGCAGCCATCTCTCCCCCAGCTCCGGAGGGAGGTGCCCAGTGCTCAGATAGGAGCTGGCTGGGCCCAGGAGCATTTCCGGGTACTCACTGAGGTTCCCAAGTCCAGAGGTGTGGACCCTGCATTCAGCGACGCCGTCTCAGGGACCAGCTCCGCCATGGAGGAGAGGGCACAGCTCCAGGGTTGTGCTGGACTGCTGGTTTTTATCCAGGATCCTCAGCTGAGAAGCAGCACTAAGGAAGGCCCAGCCTCTGAGCTTCTGTATGACATGCAAGCAGCTCTTTGTGGGGCTCGACTAACGGTGGTCCAGGGCAGCCTTCTGTCACACAAGATCAGAAGTTCTCCTGGGGACATTGGCAGCACCTGCATCGGTACCGGCCAAGCAGCCTTGCGGCCTTCAAGCAAGCACCTGCTCCTTGTTCTTCTCTCAGCTGCCCTGCCTGGGCAAAGATGACCTAGTCCTATCCTTCCCCAGCAGCCACAGACAGGCGGCTGAAGGAGTCTTACACAGAGGAGGTAAAAGCGGCAGAAGGCAGGCTCCCTGGGCAGTCTGAGAGTGTCCTGTGGGCATGGCACACACTGGAGGTAGCCAGTGAACACTCACTGTGTAAAGGGTCCAACACCGAGCGGCCCTTTCCTGAGAAAGGGAGGAGGAGGATGTGTTGTGGCACTGAGGGCAGCATCCCCTATCAGAGTATCAGTTTGTAGCCTTGCTGCTCCACTTCGGATCCAGCTCCTTGCTAATGTGCCTAGGCAGGCAGTGCATGATGGCCCAAGCACTTACACAATTGCCACCCATGTGGGAGACCTGGATGGAGTGTCGGGTTCCTGGCTTCCACCTGGCCTACCCTTGAACATTGTGGCCATTTGGGGAGTCAACAGAAGATGGAAGAACTCTCTCTTCCTGTCACCCTTTCAAATAAATTCACAAATATTTACATTTTGAAAAAAAAAAAAGTGTTTTAAAGACTGAGGAGGGAGAGACCTAGAGAGAAAGGATGAGTATCTTCAGGGCCCAGCATGACAGCCTAGTGGCTAAATCCTCACCTTGTATCTGCTGGGATCTCACGTGGGTGTCACTTTGTATCTCAACTGCTCTACTTCCCACCCAGCTCCCTGCTTGTGGCCTGGGAAAGCAGTGGAAGATGGCCCAGCCTTGGGACCCTGCACCCACATGAAACACCTGGAGGAGGCTTCTGGCTCCTGGCTTTGGATGGGCTCAGCTCTGGCCGTGGTGGCCATGTGAGGAGTGAACCAGTGCAAGGATGATCTTTCCCTGGGTCTCCTTCTCTCTGTATATCTGCCTTTCCAATAAAAATAAACCTTCAAAAAAAAGTGAGCATCTTTCATTTATTGTTCACCCCCCACTAGATGGTTACAACAACCAGGGCTGTGTCAGGCTGAGACCAGGAGTTAGGAGCTAAACTGCAGTCTCTCACATGGGTGGTAGGGCCCCAAATACTTGGGCCATCTTCTGCTTTTCCCAGGGCTTTAGCAGGCAGCTGGACCAGAAGTGGAGCAGCTTGGATACCAACTAGCACCCAGCATGGCAGGCAGTGGTTTTACCCACTAGACCACAAAACCAGTACCAATACATTAATATGTTTTTAATGAAATGTTTTTAAGAAATAAAACAAAAGGCAGGTGGGTGCAGGGAAAAGTGTCATCCAGTTTGGGCACTGATTGGAAAGGAGGCCTGGTCCAGAATCCCTCAGGAGCAGGTAGGATGGGTGGTGCTGAGACGGACTGGTGGTCACTGCAATTCTCAGGTGTGTTGAGTCCCCCTGGCAAGGTGACCACTGGGGCATCACACACACTGTTCCCAGGGCACCTCTCTGTAACATGCCTACCAGTCACTATTGTTTCTGTCGCCTTTTTCCAAGTGAAGGTGGCATCTGACAAGTCTTGGTGTACGCTGTGTCTTGTACGCCATGCGTTTTGACCACCAGCTGGTCCTGTGGCATCCTTCCCCACCTCCTCCCAGGCTGGCGAGGGCCCTTCCTCTGGTCTCCGAAGCTCTGCCTTGTCAGTGTTCACCACAGAGACACGTGCACCAGGTGAAACCAACTGGCTTGCAAAAGTCCACCTTCCTCAAGGGAACAGTACCCTACAAACACACACACACACACACACACACACGCTCAACACCTTTAACGGAGCTGTCAGTCCCTCCAACTGCTCAGGCCCTGGTCAGGGTTAGGCAAGGACCTGGGGTTCAAGCAGATGGTTCTAACTCAGTCAAAGGAGAGGTTACATGTATGAGGGGACTTCCAAAAAGGCACTGGAAAATGGAATTACAGGATGTTTATTTTGAAGGAAGAAAAATCTGAAATCCATGCATTGTTTTCTTAATGTACATTTACTAAAGACATGAAGGAGGGCTTCGCTCCTTTTGGCTCTCCTCCCGACTTCCATCTGCATTCAGTGCTATGGACACACAAGCACACTTTACAATGTTCATGGAAGCCGAATGACAAGAGCCGGGCAGAGGATGTCTTCCACAAAGCTCATGGAAAACGTGGAGTAGGAAAAAACTATGCATGCTTTCCTATTTTTATTTTTTGTATCCAAATAAACTTACCCTTTCATTCCATTTTTCCTGAGTTTTTGCAAGTCCCCTGCTGTCAGCCCCTGGGACTTAGAGCTACAAAGCATAAAACTGAAGGGGCCACGGCACCTGCTCCTTGACAAGGAATGGGATCTCCGGGAGTTAAGAGGCTCAACTCACGTGGTTTCTTCGTGGGTTTCAAACCCACTTCTCACCAACTTAAATCCACATTATGCACCACAGCTGACCTGGGCCAGGCAATTAGCAGATTCCCAAAATGCTTGAAGAGTGTGTGTCTCAAAGAGTCACATTCTGTGTGATTCTATTTTCTGGAAATGTCTAGGGAGAGTGAGCGAGCACCCAGACAGGAGATGCTGGGGGGCCAGGAGCTGGAGAGTGCTGGGTGAACAGGTGTGGGGTTTTCTTTGTGGGGTGATGATAACATGATCAGACCAGATCGTGGTGACAGCTGTACAATGCTGCAGACGCACGGACAGCCACTGACATACATAATGTTAGTGAGATGACACACGCTGGTAATGAGTTTCACAACAATAAGCAGCAAAGGGGTTCCATGTCATCCTCCTTCCAAGAGTTTGCTAACAACCACTCAGAACAACCCTGTGGAGAACTGGAAAGGAACACCGTTTTTAACATGGAGGGATAAGTAACATGTCTCCCCACGGGGATGCAGAGGCAGGGAATGGATGCCCCAGGCCTGTGTGCTCCCCCAAACCATCCTGTCGCATCCAAGGAAACCTGTGTGGACTCAGCTTGCTGCATGCGACAGGATCAAACCCAAAAACCTCCTCGGGGCCAGGTCAGCAGGGCACACAGAGAACACCTGGGGACACTGGGGCAAGATAAACCGTGCGGATGCCTCACAGACAGGCTTCCCCGGACACAGCGGCAGCAGCAAGCCCCCAAAGCCACGTGGAAGCAAGGAGCAGGATCACACAGAGTGGCTCAACACTCACACAGAGGAATCGTCTGAGTGTTAGAGACCGGATGCCTTCAGAACAAGACAGTTCACAAACTCCGCTGAAACAAGAAATACCTTCCATTTTTTTTTTTAAACAATGAATTATGATGATCCTGGATGGATGTGGGAAAATACATTTTGCAAGCTGAATGTGACCCAGTCTGATCTGGGTAAGGTTTGGAGGCATTACTCAGAGCATATCTTTACAGTATTATCCTGTGCTCCAAGCACACACGTGCATGCAGGAGTCCACCCGGATGTCCGTGTATGTATGGTGATGTCCTGTGCAAAGGAGGGTTTGAGTCACCATGTATTTCTTTCTTCCATGAGTCTAAGACTGAATTATGATGAGGCAAAGACTCACAGAATGTCGTGCTCACATTTTCAACGGCCAAACATCCAAGAAAGAAAATGATAAGCACACACACACACAGATTTGTTATAAAGATATGCAAAATTAAACAGGCACCATTGATTGATTTGAGCTCGCAGGAAAACCTGGGCAACCAGCATAGGTTTTGGACAACCATGGAAAGCCCACGCGAGGACCACACCGTGACCAGCCACCAGAGAGTCAGGAGGGAAGACTTACCAAAAGCGTCCACTGGCAGGGGCGCACGGTGAGAAAGGGCAGGATACATCACAATTGACACAAAAAGGAAAACGACAAAGTCAAACTGATGTTCGGGCAGCAGTGGCCTCAGCCTGCGCTCACGTGTCAGGCAGTCCCTGCCTGGCCACCAAGCTGTGTGTCCAGGCTGCTAAAGCCACATCCACCGTGAGCTGACCTCCGAGGTCCATTCTCCTGCCTTACAAATACTCCTTCCTTCTTATCTAAGCTGTCATCTTCCTACACAGCAGGTATTACCCCTGGATAACAGAGCGAAGCCTTTAAGAAGAGGTGAAGATGATGGGCCCAGAGCTGACCGATTCAGATGCTTTATAGCAAGCAAACCGTCAAGGCCATTTATCTTAAGTTGGAGAGTGTCTAGGGAAAAGACACAGGAAGCAAACTCCCTAAAACACACCCCACCGCCCCCAGAAGTTCTGGTTGCAGCGGGAAGCGGCAAGGAGACACCACCAGGCCCTACAACATTCCACGGCCTTCTGCTGCCCTCCCCACCTGGACACAGGGCTGACTCAGCCCTGGTCCCTGTCGCTCTGTGCCGGACCAGACTTCTCCAAAGGCAATAACCCAGCTTGCTTCCTGGCCTCAGCTGCAACCCCTAAGAGACATCTGACAAGCTGGCCTTCAAGAAACAGACTTATTCACCCGCTGCAGGGTCCTCAGACTGCTTCAGAGTGACTTTCAGATATAACAGAGTGACAGATAAAGCATTTAAAATTGTTTTCTATGGAAAGAGTCAAGTACCTTCAGATGACACATGGACCCTTCCAATGGCAAAACAAGAGTCAGAGAAGAGCTGTGTGCAGAAGAAGTAAGGTAATAAACACACACTTACAAAAACCACACCCCCTCAAGGACAGTACTGAAACCAACAGGTGCAAGGCAAGGAAGATTCTGAGAGAGGGGTAGGAGAAGTCGTGGGTTCAAGATGACAGTCTGCAAAAGGCTCTGCGGGCAGCTGCTGCTTGAGAGTCCCTGGGCACCTCACACCAACGAAGTGCTCATCTGGCTCATCGATAGGCCTTGGTTCTACTAGGACAAACATGGAGAGCATCTGTGCAACCGATGCCTGGCCTAAGGAAACGCCACTGGAAGGAGAGCCCACGACTGCGTCAGCAGGTTTTTCAGCAGAAACCAAGCCTTCCAACATCTGAAAACCTCAGGTAAGCAGCTTTCTTCTGGCTCCTAAGCTGCACCATTCCCATCCCGTGCTTGGACACAGGTCCTGTGGGAAAGCTCTCCCCGACACAGTCAGCATGGCTGCTCTTCCAGAAACATGTGAGCACTCGATCAAAAATGGTTTTAAACATCTTAGAAGGAGAGTGAAAGGAGGAGAGTTTCTTGAAGAAACCAGAAGATCATCGACGCTGTTCTAAGTGCCTGGTCTGACCGCTCTCGTAGATGTAAGGACAGCATCTGGAAAGGACATGGTGGGGCCAGTGCTGTGGCACAGTGGATTAAGTGGCCACCTGTGACACCAGCATCTCATGTAGTCCTGGCTGTTCTACTTCCAACCAGCTCCCTGCAGATGTACCTAGGAAAGCAGCAGATGCTCTGACTGCTTGGGCCCCTGAGACTCACGTGTAAGACAGAGCAAGAGCTCCAGGATTTTGGTCAGGCCATTTGGACAGTGAGTTAGCAGATGGAAGAGTCTCTTTCTCTCTCACTCTGCCTTTCAAATAAATCTGAGGCTGGGGCCAGGGTTAGCACTGTCAGGGTTTTAATCACGTGCCACTCCTCACAACTAAATGCCAGTGACCCCCAGGACCTAGGGCGGAGGCGTCTCTCCCCAATGTGTTCAGGCAGCAAACTGAAGGTCCCTAATCCTTGTATTTGGCGACCTGAATGGAGCATATTATCCCCTGGAAGCCTGAGACAGTGCTGGGCAGGTTCTAATTGCCAGAAACTTCTTTTATGTTGCACTGAAGTCAACCTACCAGGTTTACCAGAAGTCTGAGCTCTGCTAACTGGACAACGCCGCTGACATGGAGTGCCAGGCAGGGCCCATCACACCCTCCACAGAGTTCAGATCAGAGAGTGCTCCTTACGGCCAAGAACTGAAGGTTTCTCAGGACAGAACTCTGCACGAGTTGCAGGCAAAGAGCTACTTGCTCTCACCTCATCCTCCCAAGCCCACTGCAGTGTTTCTCCGAGCCCTCCCGTAGCAGCAAGCTGCCTGCTGGGCGGAGCTCAATCCCGACCCTGCCCAGATTCCTCTCAGATTTCCTGGAATATGGTAGCAGGTGTACTTATAAACATTTGCCTCGAGATTGCCTGAAACGTACTGGCCATAACGCCTACTACTTGTCACAGGTGATTCCCGGGTGTCTGAATTAGAAGGCACCTATGAGAAGCACCAGACCAGAAAGATACACCCCAAAAAGATAGTCTAGGGGCTAATCTTCACTGAAACTCACAGTGGGTGAAAATTCTGCTGCTTTTAAACTGCACTTTCTAAAATTTATTTTTATTTATTTATTTTTACTCCTGTGAGAACCAGTGGTAAAGGCTGGAGGCAACAGGCACATTTTCTCAAGAAATGTCAGAGCTTAGAAGCTTTGTCAGAGGGCCAGCGTGGTGCTGTGCATGTCATGTGGTCGCCTGCGATGCCTGCAGCCCATATCTTAGCTCTGGTTGGAGTCCCACGTGTTCCACTTCTGACACAGCTTCCCATAATGCACCTGGGAGGGCAGGGAAAGATGGACAAAGAGCCCCTGCCATCCACGTGGGAGTTGAGGCGCAGTTCAAGGCTCCTGGCTTTGGCCTAGCACCGAACTGGCTATTGCCAAATGACCAATCCAAGGAAGACCTCTCAATTCCTCCCTCCATGTTCTTCAGCCTTCCAAACAAATAAATCTTTGGAAAAAAAAATTTTTGTTCTGTGCCCATTTCACTACCACCCTCAACCACTGCAGCTCTGCAAATACATTCTCTTTGCATTCCAAGTACGTGCTATCGGTTTATAAAAGGGAAACTCTAGTTTGGGGAAAATCTCTTCCTAAAAGGATGCTATAGATGTTATCCATCCCCTACAGCCCGGCCCAGGAGGGCCACCTTACCCACTGTGATGCAAGAGTAACACCTTGCGATGGGGCACAGTCTGTCTGGAAGAGAGGTCATCACCTCTGACCCAGGACAAAGTCCCTACCTCAGGGTTGTAGTAACACGTAACAAAAGCCTGCAGAGTGGATGTGGCCGGCATTTTCTCTCCCAACTCCCCACCCATTGCGGAGTCACGGGTGTGACCATTCATGGATTTCTAACGGATGACAAAGGGGCAGGCAGGAGGAGAGGTGTCTGGCCCTTCAGCAGTGCATTACCAAGCCCCATCTTCACTAACAGCAGGCAGAGTTGCTCTGTAGCCATGGCCCTGGTTCCCCCTACAGCCATTTCTAGCGATCTCACAGGACCTCACGAGGACTTTGGAGATTACAAGCTGTGATCAAAAGTGGCATCATTTCAGGAATAATTACGACAGAATATTTGCCCAAAAGCTTTTCTGCATGATTCCAAAGCCTCAAAGAAAGTCACGGGGTTCATTTACAAAGCACAACTGGCATGGAGGCTGCCAGGATGTGAAGGCAAGGGTAGGGACAGGAGTGAGGCGAGAAGTTCTTTGCCAAGACTTCTGGGCTCCTATATATTCTGCACTTGCCAACGTGGTTCAGATTGATACTGTGGCACCCATTTGCCCTGCAGGGCCATGACACCTGCAGAAATCTAGGAAATGAACACTGTCCACTTCAAAGATAAAACCGGGCCACCCGGGCACTCTTCCTCAAGGTTCAATGTCGGGGGCAGAATTTTTGGAGTTACCTTTTTTTGCTTTCTTCTGCAGTTTCAGCGTATCTGAGGACTTCTTTTTAATCTCTTGGCGAGCTTTCTTATATTCTAAGAGAAAGCAGAATATTAAAGTTTGATCAGTGTGTCCAACAAAAAATATTTTAGCAATAGCAATTAGCTTCATCCCAGATAACTCTAAGACATGCAAATAATTTCATCGAAATCTGATAACAGTGACAATGTCTGGAGGACATTCTAAAACCAAGGAGCTATTCAAAACATAAAACAACAAAATGAGCTGGAGCCTTTCCTCATGGTGCCAGCTTGGAGGAAAGACAACATTTGGGGATGTTATCATAAGAGGAAACTAGACACAATTTCTCATGTTGGGGCTCAGGAAAGGGTTTCTACGTTATTTGCTTTTCTGAGGTCCAAACCCACAGCACTTTGATTACAAAAGAGGAGTCCCAGCTGGGAAAGGTGCTGTCCAGACCCGTCAAACCAAGACCTAGAAGAGCCGACCACACAGGGAAGAAGCTGGCATCCCCAGCAGCCTCACTGTCGCGGTCCTCCCTCCCTGCATTCTGCCTCTCTGGCTGGGAAAGCAGTAGAGGATGGCCCAGTGCCTTGGGATCCTCTACCCACATGGGAGACCTGGAAGAAGCTCCTGGCTTTAGGTTATCTCAGCTCTGGCGGTTACAGTCATTTGAGGAGCGAACCAGCAGATGGAAGATCTTTCTGCAAATTTCCCTTTCCAACAAAATTTAAAATGATAAATCTTTTTTTATTTTTTTTAAAGATTTTATTTTTATTATTTTTTCATTGGAAAGGCGGATATACAGAGAGGAGAGACAGAGAGGAAGATCTTCCGTCCAATGATTCACTCCCCAAGTGAGCGCAACGGGCCGATACTATGCCGATCCGAAGCCAGGAGCCTCTTCCGGGTCTCCCACGCGGGCGCAGGTTCCCAAAGCCTTGGGCCGTCCTCGACTGCTTTCCCAGGCCACAAGCAGGGAGCTGGAAGGGAAGCGGGGCTGCCGGGATTAGAACCGGCGCCCATTTGGGATCCCGGGCGTGCAAGGCGAGGACCTAACCACTTGCGCCACCGCGCCGGGCCCAGATAAATCTTTTTTTAAAAGAAATATTATTGAAGTCATACAAGCAAAGCTGACTGGGCTCCCTGTCAACTACCGAGGTTTTCACCATCAGAAGATTTCACTGTTTCTATATTCTTTACCTGACACCGAGTACAGATGGTAAGCTCAGTGCATCCAAGATAACACGTGACCTGCCTTTCTAACTTTAAATGAAAGGAGACAAGAGTGTTTCGGATTGTATCAAACGCAGGAGCAAGGTACCAGATGGGTCAGAAGGAAGATATTAAAACCAAAAACCAAAAAAGACATTTAAAAGAATCCCATGATTTAGGATGCCTTTCTTTGTTCTATTACAAATGAACTGTATCATCTTTCAAATTTTGAAGTAGGAGAAACAGATTTTATATTAACTTTTTACACAATAACTAAATAACTAGAATCTCAATGTACACAAGCTATCTTCCTTTCTTTTCTTTCACAGAAAATGGTTTGCTGAAGTGCTGCCCAAGACTGATTTGCGGTAACAATGGAGACACGAGTGAGTGCCTTTAGTCTATGATTAACAAACGCTGAAGATTGTGCTCCAAAAACTGACAAACGTATCCATTGTCGTCTTCATGGACATGAAACATAGTAGGATTCAATAGCTCCGGGTGCTGAGTGACACAGATGACTCGAGTGAATGTGCAGCTTCCCGGCGGCTAGAGAGAGCTTCTGGAATGTGACATAATTTTAATGCTATAGTCGGCAGCAGGCAAAATGAAGCAGCTCCCTGGCCATACAGAGTCCTGTTTCAGGAGCCCTTCTCAGGCCCTAAACACTGCCTGGGGCTTCCTCATGGTCTTTGTTTCTCTCTGCTTTATGATAAGGCCATCTGTGTCCATGGCAGTAGACACCACGTTCATCTTCCTGCAGAGCCTGCAAACTGAGCCGTGCAGGGGAACCTCAAACATGCTCGCTGGAAAGCACAACCCTGAGATTTCCTCTGCAGCTGACGGCTGATCTCTCTTCTCACTATCAGGGTCCCTGACACCAACCAAACCAGCTCACCACCTCGTCTCTTCCAGTCGAGACAGCACACAATGGAAAAGGGCCCGTTTGGGGTAGGCCACTCAGGGTGAGTCTGGTGTTCCAAACGTGCCAAGATGCCTTCCACCTAAGTGCTTGGTGTATACACCTGCCATGGCCAGAATCCAAATATTGCACCCGAGCCAGCGGCTGCTGAGGGACACTTTGTGCTACACACACAGCGCTCAGCTCTGCCAAGTGACTGCCCTGGCAGAGGCAGAGTGGGCCCTTCGCTGTTTCCTTGACACCAACCCATCCACCAGAGGCTGCGCCGGCAGCATCCACGGCTCTTCTCAACTTCTGCTCCCGGCCCCCGTACCTTTTGCATGGTCTTTATCCAGCTGGTTGGCCACTTTCTTCCATTCTTCCATCTGTTCTTGAAGTGGGTTTATTAGACAATCGATTAAAGCACTTTCATTGAAAGAGAAAGGAAAGGAAGAATTAAACAGATATGTTCCATTGTCAAGACATACATTTGGTTGTCACAACAGGCATCAAGTTGCAATTACCCAGGCCAACAAAGGTAGAATAAGATGAAGCTCTCAGTCAGCACCCTGATCCTTGTTCTCAGAACACTTGGCAACAAAATTAAGAAGTTATTATGGTGACTGGCTGGGACAAGCCTGCTTCTCACTTCCAGGGATGTCCAGCGATTGCATTTACAAGTCAAAGGACAGAAAAAAAAAAGTCAAGGGACAGGACCACTGGGCCACGTGGCAGGTGGAGACAGCTGGGTCTTCGTTCACTTCTAATCCAAATTCTGAGGTTCTGACGTGCATCCAGGATTCTGTGTCATCAACATATACTAACTGCTCAGAGCCTGGAGAAAAGTCGAGAATGAAGAGACCAGAATGTCCTGTGGCTGCTCCTAACAGTTACTGGGTCACTAAGGGGTGAGGCCCTCTGTTTGTAGCCTCCACTATGAGCAGTTTCCTTGTAGGGACTGCGTGACTCCACTGCCCCATGCTGATCACCCTGGTAGCGAGATCCACTAGCATTAGAACGCTGGCCTGCTACTCCCACTTCTCCCTAGGCTGAAGGCCTGCAAGCCAGGCAAGACACTGGCAAGTGGGGAGGGCTTCAAGAACTCCCACTGCTGCCCCCTCACTCCAACGGTGGGTGTGATGGAATCATACAGGTCTAGCGGCCAGGGCAGCCTGGCCTATCTCACTCTTGGCGCTCCTGCAGGATGGAGAGGATCTCAGTGGGATGTACTACTTGCTCAACTGGGCCACCGTGAGGGGGCGACCCACATGAGAGGTACAGAGGACCCAAGGCAGAGTGGTAGGCTCACTGAGGCCAGACACCTGGCCATTAGTCCTAGCTGCACCGTTCAACCGTTCATGCCCACAGCAGTAAACGGCATGCAGCAGGTGCCCAATCAAACGCATGATCAGGGAACGAACAGAGACAAGAAACAGGGTGTGGGGAGCTAGGTGCTGGCCCACGTGCCTGACACCTTGCTCACTGAGTGCTTGCTTCATTTGGAATCAGCAGGGGCCTTGGGGACCCGGATGGAACAGGCTCCTCACCTGGAGAACTGTCTCAGCTTGGCCTCGATGCTCCGATGCCTCATGCACATCCTGGTGAGGGCAGACCCGATCTCCCTGGTACCTCCTGAAAGCGCAACACAGGCCCAGGTGAGTGCAAGCAGCAAGCGCAAATCCTGGCCATCTCCGCCGACCTTCGGACGCGAGCCAGATTACAGCAGGTGAGGCGCCTAACCCACGGCCTTACAAGCTTACCACACACATGCTCACACACACACACACACACATGTGGGGCCACCTCTGTCACTGAAGCCAAGGTGGCTCAAGCTGCACAAGATCCTTTAACAGTTTCTGTTTTGGGTGTTCGAGCAGTACTGGTCGTCATCTAGACTAAAGCCAACGGGGCACCCCCCCGCATGGGTCTGACACACAGTTTGCAAGACACTTCTGATGGAAGACAATCAAAGAAGTGTCGGGTAGGGGGGAAAGCTGTCCCTCTGAGAGCTGCCTTTCTGGAGAAGTAATCCTGTCCCCAGGAGTTGGAAGGCCAATTATTACAAGCCACATGTTCTGGAGACAATGCCCTCTTGAAGGGACCGGGTGACACCGGGCAGCGAGGGCAAAGTCTTGGGGCTGTGGCAGAGTTTGATTTTCCTGAAATCCCTGTCATACTTTCCCTGGCAGGCACACCCTTCTCTGAGGTTACTTTTTTCAAGTTGTTCTCTTCCTTCCCCCTCCAGAGACAGTGCTTGAATCAGCACTTACAGGAACATGGTGGGGGAAGCCGATGAGAAGCGCAGATGGTCTTGGGCCCAGAACTCCGGCATGCACCATTAGAAATATGAGGAACACCCAGGTTCTTGTGAAACTGAGGGCACATGGCAAATGAAAAGTGCTTTTTAAGCAGACAAGGGGGAAAAATTGCTGGAATTTACAACAGGGTTGGTCAAGTCAAGGGAACAAGAACACGACGGCCTCTCGGGTGTTCATATTGTGGGCTGTAATCTGCCTGCCTGTCCTGCCAGAAACACCAATGTGCTGTTTCAGTCCCACCTGTTTTCCACTGTATTCTGAAAAACAGGATTACACAATCAGATACTACTCAGGGTGACTATAATATGGAAGCATTTCTTAGTTTCATTTCAATGTAAACAGGTAAGTGTTGACAGGTGAAAATTTTCCTTTTCTTGACAACAGAATCTCTCAATCTGAATGCTACAGGGATATATTCTAGTTTTGAGATCTATGCAGATTTTGTTTTTGTGTGTGTAATAGGCTTTTCTACAAACTTGCTACACACACACACACACACACACACACACACACACACGAGCGCACGCTGCACAGCTCAATCCTTTGCTGTGGGGCTGTGCCGTGCGCTGTCAGATGTTCCGACTGTACCCTGGACCTCTGCTTGCTAATGGCAATAGTGAATCCCCTCCGCCTGTCAAGAACCACTGCTCAGGGACCACATGTCACTTGAGGTTGGTTTGTCAGTGGCCATAAGTCTTTCAAGAATGTCCTTAACCTTCTGGCACCTGCCTCAAGGAGCCAGGGAACCTGAACAGATCGCCTCCCTCCATCTGCAGTGGTTCACATCGCTCTACCACGGAGGGCCAGGAGGGGGCGCCAAGCTCACATGCTCCAGTAGTCACTGCTAGGTAAGGATGGGGAATGCTTTCTCCCCAGGGAAATATCTCCTTTTCCTGAGCCTTCATCTGATTACAAGTTAATAACCTAGCCACACAAGAGAATTGGCATGCTCTCTCACTGCTGCTGGGAGTGTAAACTAATACTTTCCAAGACGAGAATTTGGTAAAGATCTATCAAGAAAATGTTACTAATGTGCATGCTCTGTGACTCAGCAACTCTAATCCTAGAAACTTAGCCTGAAAAAATAACGGATGGGAGAAAATCCCCATCGGTGAGGGTAGTTATGAAACGTTTTCAACACTGACAAGCTGGAGAGGCAACCCCATTCTAGGATTCAGTCAAACAAACCAAGGAACACTGCCATGCAATGGAACACCAGGCAGTCCTTTAAAATGCTGGAAAACAATGTTTAAGGAATTACAAGAGGCTTGTGCTGTGGCACACAGCATGGTTAGGCCATCACTATGATGCCAGCATCCCGTATCCGAGAGCCAACTCAGGACAGGCTGCTTTGCTTCCTTCTCAGAGGAGGGGAACGAAGCGAGGCCCTTGCATGGAGTCATGGTGTGCAGGGCTGTCGCTCGTTCTCTGCACCCGACCCTCCCCAGTGGAACTGATGCAATCATCACCCCGCACTTTACAGACAGGAAACACATCTCTGCTGATGCGCACACATCCCACTGTTAGCGGAACCAGAACATCAATCCACACACTTGCTTCTGCAGCTGCCGGACACTTACTGGACACCATGGGTGGGATGAGACAGTGACGGGCCCGGAACACAGGCTGCACCCAACGCACTTCACTACACATCATATGGCTGCCTGGCTTTACCGTTAGCTTCCAAATATCAGTTCTGGAGTCTAGAACTGCCCAGCTGGGACCATGGGATGAGCTGCAAATCTGCAGACCCAGCACCAGGACTGAGCCTGGGGATGTTGGACTGACCCAGGGGTCAGCCTTGCTGACCCCACAAAGTTGGAAGAGATGCGCGCCTTCAAGGCCAGCCCCTGCCCTCTCGGCCTGCTACCTAGGTATTTTCCATAGTTTGTATGCCTCTCCAGGAAAGCTCAAGATTCCCCCAAACAGCTCAACAGTGTCACAAGAAAGTACAGACACGCGCGAGCAAGAAGGCCTCCGAAGGAAAGGGAGTGACCGCAGAGAAAACACTGCCAATAGCAGCAGCAGTGTCCCTGTCCGGGCGCCACGTGGGCAGAAGGCAGCTGCCACGCAGTGCATCCCAGGGCCCAGTGCTAGAACGACTGCTGGTCTCCATGACACAAGCCCTCCAGAAGCAGGTGGCTCTGCGCAAGTACTGAATGATATCTTAGCTTCTCCCCAACCCTTGCTAGCACTTAAACAAAACAAAAAATCAGTAATTTGAACAGGAACTACTTGCTGGAAGAAATCAGCTTCCACCACAAAGAAAAGACATCTGCAAGCCCTCCAACAAGACACTCAGAAGGTCTGTGGAATCAAATGGCTGGCTGAGGCACACCCAGCCCTGTGGGAGTGAGGACAGCCGGCTCTTATGTCGCCCACCAAGAAATGGTGACCCGGGGAACCCTGGACAACTGGCGTTTTGAGCGCGCATCGCCAGGTTGGGCCCATCCGGAGGCAGGAACAAGGCCCCAGTTTATCCTTGGCCTAATCCATAAATACGTTTTTCCTGCACGTACACCATGGAAGATGCCAGATGCTTCATCTCAGAAAAGGCGCACTTAGAGGTCAGTGCAGAGCTACAGCGGTGTGCTCCCTTCCTTCCACTGTCACGGTAATCGACTACAACTGAAACAGCTTGAACACAACAGGATCGCCCAGTTCTAGAAACTCAGAATCCAAACCGGCTTCACCGGGCTGTCATCTGGGCATGGGTGGGGCTGTGTTCTTGCCAGAGAACCTGTTATCATGCCTTCTCCAGCTTCCGGGGCCTTCCCGCATTCCCTGGTTAACCCCTCCCAAGGCAGAGGCTCAGCACCTGCTCTCTTTGCCCACCGCACCTTCTGTGCTTAAAGCTTCTCAGCCTGACAGTCCTGCCTCCCTCTTATCCTTGTGCTCTAGCTAGACCTGTTGGAATCTTCCAAGATGATCCCCCTGTCTCCAGTTCCTTAACCCTGACACCCTTGTAGCATCCCCCTTCACCATGGATGGCAATGTGCACGCTGCTGGGGCGCCATTCTTTTTTCTACCAGAGCTGGGAGGGATGTTCGTTCTAGCCTGCTGGGCAGTGGTGGGCTCCAGGGAGGGAGGCGACAGATATGGAGAGAAGGCTGATGGGGTGCTTCTGGGGAAGGATTCCATAAAATCCAACGGGATCACAGCAGAGACACCCTATAGGACCTAAACAAGGACACAGGCAGGCAGCACCATGGCCACAGAGCTGCCACCTTAAGATGGAACTACGGAGTTGAGGTGCAGTGGGTTCAGCAGCCACTTGCCTCACCAGCATCTCATTTCAAAGGGCTGGTTTGAGTCCTGGCTGTTCCACTTTCAATCCACCTTGCATTTCAACGCACCTGGGACAGCAGCAGCAGAAGGCTCAAGGGCTTAGTGCCCTGCCAAACACCTGGATACTGGAGAGAAGCTCCTGACTATGGCCTGACTCACTGGCTAGAAGAGCTCTTTATCCGTGTCTCCCTTCCCTGTCACTTTTTAAAAAGATTTATTTATTTATTTATTTATTTGGAAAGACAGCTTCACAGAGAGGAGAGACAGAGAGTTTCTGACCACTGGTTCAATCCCCAAGGAGCTGTCACAGCTGGAGTTGAGCTGATCTGAAGTCAGGAGCCAAGAGCTACTTCCACGGCTCCCATGTGGGTGCAGAGTCCCAGGCTATCCTTGACTACTTTCCCAGGCCACAAGCAGGGAGCTGAGTGGGAAATGGAGCTGCCGGGATATGGAGTGGTGCCTGTATGGGATCCCGGTGCTTGCTCAAGACCTGGATTTAGCCACTGAGGCATTACACTGGGCCATGTCGCTCTCCAAAGAAAAAAACAAACTGGCATAGCAGCACAGCATATGAAGCCTGCACAAGCAATACTGGCATCCCATACCGGTGGGTGCTTCCCGTCCCGGCAGTGCCATTTCCTGTCCATAGTCCTGCTAATGCACCCGAGAAAGCAGATGGGCCAAACGTTTGGGCCCCTTCCACCCAAATGAGAAACCTGAACGAAACCCCTGGCTTCAGCCTAGCCCACTGCTGGTCACTGGATGGAAAATTCTCTCTCTCTCTCTCTCTCCCTTCTCTCACTCTGCAACTCTTCCAAATATATAAGTCTTTAAAACAAAACAAAACAAACAAAAACTGGCTGAGACTCCTCCTAGCTTAAGAAGCCAGGAAGAACTCCTGGCACCCTCCCTGGGCCACTGCTCTGAGCCTGCTCTTCTTCCAGGCCCGGGCTCCTATTTGGCAAGAGCAAATATTTATTTCTAAAGGCCACTTTGATTTGGTCTGTTTCTTGCTAGTTCAAAGAG